GAGTGGCTGTATAATTATGTCCAGCACTGTATAAAATTTTGAAGGGCATTTTTGTAATTTTCGCCGGAACAAGTGAAAACAAGTATAGATTGCAAAAGGAAGAAATTTTAGGTCTCTAAGCAAAAACCACTACCCCTAAACACGAGTTTTTACCCTAATTGTGCTAATTTTACTGCTGAACTCTGGATTCGAATTTAGGTGATTTCCGCATTGTAAAAATGTAAGATGTTGGGGGTTACCGTGTGCAGAATCAGTCTTCGGTGCTAATTGAGTGCAAATTAGCGTTGCTGCCAGTTTATGACCTCTCATGAACTCTGCTAACTATGTGGCGGTAGGCCTGTCGGGGTATGCAAGTTCCGTTTCCCGTGAGGTGTCATTCAATGCAGCTTTCTTTCCAACTCCTGATAGGAGTTCCTGTGTTCCCAGCTCGGTATTTGGGCGACGAGATTATCAAAATTCCTGATTTTGAACCCGCCTCATGCTTACCCGTAGGATGCGAGATTTGATATTTCGGCAAACGCTCTGATGCTTTGTGAAGTTTTTGTGTTATCATCAGGATCAAGCGTGGGGTGTGGCACGTCACACCTGAGGGTCGTATTGAAGAGTCAAAACGAGAAGGGTCGTAATCAACTAATGGTAATAGTAACAACATGTTATTCTAAGTTGTTTTTCAGATAGCCCCATTATGCGAAATACAAGCACATGGGTCTTGACTCGGGGTGTGGCATGCCACATCTGGGGGTCTTATTGAGGGATCAGGCTTGGGGGGAGGGGGGATCGTTATCGAAGTGGTACTGATGCTAGCGATGACATGATATTCCTCAAAGGTGTAAGATAGGCATTATGCAAAATAGTAGCACATTGATGTTTTGGCCTACCATCGCATATATACAGTAAGCATAATAAAAAAGGACAAGAAGCATAAGAGCATCATTTTCGTCATTAGCATGTCAAATAACACCTGGGCCAAGTTTCAGCGAATAATTTCCAAATCTAGGGCCACACAAGGAGATGACCATTTTCGAACATGTTAATTGTGTTTCAAAGGTGCGTAACCACCATCAACTACCACTATTAAGAAAATCCATAAACTCCAAATTATGGAATCAAAGGCAGCGTCTCGGTAGATTTTGAATTTCCATCTTTTTGCATGTTTTGGGCCTTCTCGACCCGTAGATCCCGAATCTGAGCTTAAAAATGGGTGAAAAGCCTTTTTCGGGGCGTTTTTTTCAATTTCCAAAAGGCAGCTCGGACGGATATTTCAAAGGAAAGAGGGGAGGCCCTGGCACGAAGACCCTGCTGCCTGTAATTTTGGCTTTGTATAGCACGCACAATGCGGAGAGGCGGTTGAAGGGTTCCGCGCCGTCTAGCGGAGAATACTCGTCCGAACAAGGTGTTAGGGGAGCGAAAGGAGGAAGGGGAGCGGCGCTTGGGCCGCCCCCCTGGCTTGCAGAGTTCATATTTTCGGGGCGGAGTTGCTGTTTTGTTTCATCTGGAGGGCCTCCTATCCATCTGTGTCAAAATCTGAGGTAGGCCAATCTGCAGAGCCGCTGCCCTTAAGAGCAAGCCAAAACTTCGTTTGTCCCATTTTCGCTTCGCTCTCTGACTAGGGAATACCAATCAGACTCAAATCATTTCTTGAAAGTTGCGAGGGTTAAGCCCTGGCCATACCGAGAAGAGAATCACCGCGATGCGATTTGTGCAATCGGACAACTGTCATACGCCCGATGCATGCCGGTAAATCATGCATGTCGGTCGTGCTAGCTGTCCAGCGCAACGGATCGCTGATCGTCTTTTCCTAGGCCATACCTATTTCAGCGATATCGCCGCGATTTGGCCGAAATCATCCGATATCGCGTCGTCAGTTTGAAATCGGCGACGCGGCAATATCGCTGGAATTAGATTTCTTTCCTGAATGATTTGAAATAGTCTTTTTTCTCTTTCGACTTGTTTTTTTTTTACGAAGATGTTAGAATGTGATGCATATTTCCTAAATTGCACTTCTTTCATTTTGTGATGCACGTTCCTTCTAGTACGTGCCATCAGTCGAGATAACTTTCGAATATTTTGATTGTTTATTTTTGATTGTTCAAAACTCGTTATTGAATAACATGCGTAGTGTCTGGATATCTGAATATCGCGAAAAATTGGCAACGTGTGCTGCACTGGAGAAAATTAGCTTTGCATCCTGTATCTAATGAGAAAAGTTGAACGATAGATGCAAATGCGCGAGAAGCTAATATGTATTGCCGATGTTGAACGTATCGGTGTCAAAAAAGGACAAAGAAATCATGCTGATTACTCCCTTTGGGTGCCAAAAAAAAAACGCAGAACGAGCAGTGAGGTGTGTATTTTCACTTTATCGGGGAACAGGTATGATCGGGGCTCCCAAATTCGTGTGGAGGTGTATTGTAGACTTTGCCTGATAACACGGATAAACTTGTTGAACCTCCACGTTATAGCATTGCTTTTCGTACTCTCTCGCTAGCAAAAACCGCCACGCTGTGAGTTGGCAAGACTCCACCTCCACACGAGCCGATGATAGGTATGTCCAGAACTCGCGACCAGATTTAACACATTCACGACAGCGCCGATTTTTCGATGACTGCCATTTCGGACCAAAGCATATTTCGCAATGAGTTTGCGTGATATTTTCAGGTCACTGATGCGCTCTGTGGCCTGAAGTGCTAATCTTTTGGGAAGTACCTCAAGAGATGTATACAGAAGTTTACTTGGTTTGGCTAAAAAGTTTCACCGTGAGCTGGCAAAATCAAGAACTTCAGAAAGCATACGACCCACCGGTGGATCGTATTGTCCGAAATGGCAGGACACGTACGACCCACCGGTGGGTCGTATTGTCGTGAATGTGTTAACAGTTGCGATTTCGTCGCTCTCTCCGGCGATGGAATCACGACGAAGGGAATCGCTGCACGTATGGCCAGGGCTCTACAGTCGAATCATCTCATATGGTCATGGGTGCATTGCCCATCGCGTCCATCTTTGGCGTCCTCATCCTGAATTTTGCAATCGCAAAAATGCAGGAGACTTACCGATTGTTACCGCTCACTACACTTTGAGATGATTTAGACCTAAAAGAGAAAGAAAACACTGAGAACACGCTGAAAGGTTGTCTCTTTTAGGAATCCAGTATGGGAACGCCAAAGGTGGACAATGTGTGCACCACACATGATCATATGAAATGATTTGACTGTAGGCTATCGAATACATATAGAGCTTATCAAACGCAGTGTCGCTTGCATTAGCATCTCCACTCTCGCACTGGACTCTGCATCTCTTCCGCGAACATGCTCTCTGATTTCTCTCCCATGGCGAGCGTGGGAAAGGCGGAGCCTAAATCGATTGGAAGGATTGGAGAGCATGTTCGCGGAAAAGACGCAGCCAGCGTGGGACCGGAGATGCTGATGCAAGCGACACTGCGTTTGATAAGCCCTGTATATCCATTCTTGCCGTCTTCCCGCGCGACTCACGTAGTGGCGCAGACTCAGTATTTTACCGTAACTCAATATTTTCGCACCATTTTTCATTTGCATAGGTAGGGAAAAACGACTATAACTTTCAATATGAGGGATGTTCAATGAAATTTCTACTGTGTAGAGAAGAAGGTTTAGCAGTGGCAAGCTTTAGAAAACACAAATGTTTGAATGCTTTGGAGGTTAATTCAGTGTGGCACACCCCTAAAAAGGTGTGGCACACACATCTTCTCTGAGGTTGTGCCACACCCCATTAATTTACCTCCAAATAGAATTTTAACGGGCAAAACATGTACATTTCAATAGCCGAGACGTAGTTTTTGTAGAAGTGGAGCGTCTTCTTTCTTCTGCGCATCGTTGCTGGAAGCACAACCACTGTGAGCTAAAAATGGGACAAATGAGATTGGCTGGCTCTACTTCCACAGTATAATAGTGGAAGCTGGATTAATGGTATGGGCAAATAGGGAGTAGTGCCTTGTATTGAGTACCTAAAAGGCTTATTCACTTTTGTCGTACAGCTGACCATGTTTCAAACTGACCACTTCAGTTGGGCGGCCATTATCGGGAAGAATTTGCTGAAACTTGGCCCATAGGGGTTGTTTAACATGACAATAACGATTATGCTATAAATTATGCTTGGTAGAGCATTTAGGCCTAAGGCATACCTCGCGCGATTTCGTCGAATCGCTACATCCAGGCGACTTGGCAATTTGCCAGATATTTACAGATCAATCGTGTGCGGGTCCTAAGGGTTGTTCCATACTGCAGTCGCTGCAGCAACGGCAGTCAATCGATCAATATACTTTGCCCGCCCCAGTATGACTGCAGTTGCTGCAGCGACTGCAGTATGAAACAACTCGAGTGCATAGGCGCGTACCGTAAGTTATAGCAAAAGCTTCAAGTCTGGCCCACGCAAAGCGCGCTAACGACCAGTTACGAAGAGTCGCTGCAGTGCCAGATCGCGCAGCGACTGGAATCGCGTGAAGTATGCCTCAGGCCTTACGTCATGTCTACGGAAAGCAAACTATAAGCGGGGGAAGGGAGTATGGAGACAGAACTGGGCTCCTAATTTCATACTTTATTTCGAAACGGGATTCCTCCTGTTGTGAGGTAATGAGGAGTGGTGCTTTGATTGAGTGCAAACAAAGGTAAGATCGACTGCATAGCCCGGGTCGCTGTAGGCTGAACGCACGCGAGCGTACCTGCAACGCGGCTACCGAGTACTGGCGCTATGATGACTCATGCGCACGAATGCCAATGTTAGCCCGCAAAGCAAACCCTCGCAGACGTTCAGCCCGGTCGAATGTTTGTATTACTTGACCATTCCAGCTTGGCCGAGTTTCTCGAGACTTCAGAATTGCTAAATGATTTATTCAAGGGTTTATTGACAGCTAATTACACAAAAATGGTAGTCATTATGCTTGACCTCTTTCTCATACATACGGTCAAAACGGTCGTACGTAAGTTCACGGTCATTTAGAGGGGTTTCGATAGAAACACAACCCAAAGGGGAGGGGGGAGGTCGTCTCCGGCGGTTGTGTGCCACACCTCTTGCTCGACCCTGTCACTGTCACAGCCTGTGCTAACCGCGAAGCTTGTCGGTCCGCCACATTCACCAGTTTGCTCCCGCCAGCATGCCTGATTCAGTGTTCCTTACGGCATCAAGTCATATGTCTTCCCCCCCCCCCCCGCCCCGTTCGCCTTCTGCCGCACCATTTCGGCACCAGAAAATTGCGCGCTGTGAGCGACAAAGCGGCCGCCGCCCGCGGTGTTAGTTCTGACGTATAGCCGTTTTCAGGATCGAAAATCTGAAAGCTCCGGAATCAGACATGAGAGATGCTGCCCAAGGATAAATCGCCTGTGTCAGTGGTCAGATTTGAACCTGGTTGCGAACTCGATTGCGATGTTAGCGTCTTTTTGGAGAAGGTATGGGTAGAGCTTTTTCCTTGCATTTTATAGTTGTTTTTTTTAGTAGAGGTACGATGATTTCATTTCAAATTTCTTTATTCTTGAGCTTTTAGGAACAAGTTTTGACAAGTGATACCACTTGCACAGTTTTTGCGTCAAGATTGAGAAAATTAGGTGAGTGCTCATTCCTGTTGCGCTGTTGTAATAAACGAAATGCAGGAACTGTTGCGGCTGCGTGCACTTTGAAAATCGATTCTGTGTATGCAACTCTGACAAACTTTACATTTGCGGTTAGTAATTTTACCTTCGTGTAGTTACTACCGCATTTGAATGTTTGCTTTAGGACAGCAGTGCTTCCAATATTCATAGAGAATTAGTGACTGAAGTAGCTGACTGGCTTTCTGCAACACATCCGCAGACATTGCTTGTAGTCAAAGAATGTTGTGGCGATGGTGATCGAGCAACTTCGAGGAAAGATATCCAGTTCTACAGTATTCTTGGGTAATTTTCTAATCTCTCACTCCTTTCGCAACATTTAAATCATGTTTCCAGATTTCTAAGTGTTGATTCATCGTGCTCATTTCTATTTTTCCCTCCTCATAATTCGAAGATCAAGCAGTAAGTATGCACTTGGTGTGCTAATCAGTTTTGCATGTGGAAGTTTCAGATTGACTGTTTGGGAAAACTGTGATGTTGATCCGTCTGCCCGTGCGGTAGTAAACAAACTGGGGAAAATTGAGGTAGTTTCTTGAGTGTTGTCGTTGTTTCTTATATGAAAGTCAAATTTGAATTCGGTTTTATTTTCATCTCTTTGTTTGTTTGTTTCATCATTTTATACACATTACATGCGCATTCACATGTTTTTAAATGTTACAAACACTTGCTCAGTCTCGCCGATTGATGTTTTCATTTCGCTTTGTGCCTAGGCATATGCCGTACATGACCCACTTGTTCCATTTGACCCACTTCGCTATTGGTCAAATCAGTGAGCTGGCCAATTGTGAACGGATGAAGCGATTCACATGGATCAAGTGAATTTCCGCTTCGCTATTGGTCACTTCACTGACTTGACCAGCGGCGAAGTGGATCAGGTGGATAACGTGGATCAGGTAATGCGTGTTTCCAATAGAAAGTAAACAGTCGATCACGTCTTGTATTTTCACTGGAATAGTGTTTCTTGTTTTCTGCTTTTGTGAGCATTTTGTACGTGAGTGTTTTTTCCATTTATAGGCTCTCGAGTACATCCCTTTGGTTGTCTTACAATATCTGCTGGACTCCAAGAAACTCGGACAGTCTATAGTTGACACCTTCGCTCATCTTGCCTTGCAGTTGCAGCGTGTTCAAGAATATGGTCTCGAAACACTAAGCGAAGAGGAGTGTCTGAAAGTGGTGCGAGAAGAAAGTTTGTTGTTGAAGTATGCATGGGAGCGCTTAAATACTGGTATGAGGTTTTCCCTACGTGCAAGATACCATAGTTCCGCTTTTCAGGACACTTTTCCGAAGTGGACTTGTGCTGGAGAAAGCTATATGCTCTCATTTCTTTGACGAAGGCTGTTCGTCTGGTCGCTGCTGGTCAGTATCTGGTTGGTGTCTTCGTACTGTGCATTTGCCTTTGTTAATGTTCAGTTATGGTGCTAGAAATACCTGCTCAGCTTGAAGTTATGAATGAATTATATAGCGGTGCTTGAAACCTCAGTTAATAGTATGACAGTAACGTCAATGGAGACTGCTTTTATCTCTTAATTATTAGGTCTGACGGATGTTGAATCGGCATTTATGCAGAATGTTGTCTTTTTGAGTTAGGTTGGGTTGGGTTGGGTATCTGGTAGGTGGATCAAATAACGTTTGTTAACACTTTTTCATAGTAGGGCATTGAGCATGTTGATCAAGGTCAAGGCATTATAGATAGACAGCTTATTTGGCGAGTTTGGGTCAGCTATAGATACCGCATAACCACAGTTCTACGAAGAAATCGAGATCTTGCGAGGTGCAAATCAGCTGTCAAATCTGCTAGGGAACTCACAGTCAAATCAGTTTTTGGTTTGGTGCATTTCTATCACGCTTTTCGTAGTCAACCATATCTTGTGCTATGATCGCTTTCTATGCTTTCTTTGGTCTTGTCAAATAACCATGGCATCGCTATCTAACAAGCGAAATGAAAAGCTGTCTGTCGTATTGGATGCGGATGAACAGTGGGATTCAATAGTCACTTTAGCATGCCATAGCTGCCGTTGATCTTGGATTGCTTATGGGGGATGGCGTGCCTGAACAGCTTCTTCAACGTTATGCACAATTTTGTGATCGCCATCTTTCGGTGCCTCCCGACATTCACGAAAACGAGGTTCGTTTTGGACTCAGTTTGAAAAAAAATGGATATTCCCATGCTGTTATAGGTCACTATCGCTGTAAGAACGTTGCCAAATTCTGTACCGATACCTGTTCTCGATGAGCTTTCCAAATGGGACTTTTTCGATCAGTACTTCCCTAGGCAAGAGCCAGTCATTGTCAAAGGCTTGAATAGACATTGGCCTGCTGTCAAGAACTGGAGGTTTGACCGCTGAGTTTTGTCTTGATCACTTTCTTTAATTGCTGACGTGCGTTTAGTTTTAACCACCTTCATAAAATTCTATGTCATCGTGTATTGCCCGTAGAACAAGGCTCAAAGTACACGGATTCAAACTGGGCTCAAATGCTTATGACAGGTTCGCAGTTCTTCACCACTTGTACGCTTCCGGTGGATGAGGTGTGCTACACTCCGGTTTTCTTCCATATTTCATTTTCAGTTTCATTTTTAGAAGGGTCCATTGTATCTTGCCCAACATCGTTTGTTCCATCAAGTGCCTGAACTTCGAGAGGACATTTCTCTTCCACTATATTGCGATCACTGTGAGGTAACCGATGAAGTTTGATAGGACATGTGCTCTTCTGTAATCTCACCTTTCACAGTTTGATGAAGTAGACAAGAACTGTTGGATTGGTCCTGGAGGCACTATATCACCTCTTCATACAGATCCGCGAGAGAACGTGTTTTCACAGGTAAATTGTTTAGGAGGGACGGTTTTTTTTCAAAGATCATTTCTTTATTATGACTGACTGCATTAGTAACATTGCTTCCTAGATTGTTGGGCGCAAGTTTTTCCGCCTAGTATCCCCGGCTGAATCTGACAAAGTTTATGCGTTCAAGGATGGGTTGCTTACGAATACGAGCCAGGTGAGTGGGTTCCAGTTCTGATGATTATACCCTGATAACTCTGATGAAATGTTTAGGTTGATGTTCTCAATCCTGATCTTGAAAAATATCCGGAGTTCGCCAAAGCAAAGTGTTGGGATGGAGTTGTTGAAGGTGGGGATATTCTATACATACCGAAAGGGTGGTGGCATCTGGTTGCATCACTCACGAACTCCATTGCTTTTGCGTTCTGGTTTGATAAATGAACATTCTCTTACTCTATGCAGCGTTGCATTTTGTCCTTCATTTTTTATCATGACAGTTATGCTTTAATTCAGTCTTTGAGAAGCTCAGAGAATCCCGGTTTAATTGTGCATGGGTTGTAAAGTTGCCTATTTCATTTTTGTATTTTCATAGAAAAGCGTATGCTATGGGTATACTGATTACCGGTCATGATATCACGACGCTTTTTCATTCTTAGCTTTGTGTGACAAAGAGCTCCTAGCACTTTTTTGTTTTGCCGTTACATCCTTGATGTTCAATATTACTTATATTCGTTGTTTATACTTTTGTTAATGATAAAGATGTAACTATGCTTTATTCATTTTGAAGGCTAGTCTTACCCATGAGTCTAGAAGTTGATAAAGCGATGCACAAAACAGTAGTCCAGCAAAGAAAGTGCGGGCTTCTCGTTATTACAAAAACGAAACTATGCTTAATACATACCCTCCGTCTCATTACGAATAATGAGGGTCGTGCGGCTCGGGTTCGGCGCGGTTGCCTCACTTGCTCTGCAATTCTTTCGCAAGCGTGCTAATCTTCACGCTTGATTGTTGATTGAAGCTCCTTTCCCAGGCTCAGGTGTGGGAAATGATCACAGAGCAGCCTTTCGAAAGCGGTGCAAATTCCAGGCGGGTCGTTGCGCGAAACCCGAGCCGCATCTTAGAAAATGGAAATGGGTAATTTATTGTCGAGTCGTCAACCGCACCGACTGGCCGTCATTGCGGAGGACGTGCAGCGTGGACGAAAGTCACGGGAGCACGACTGTACATTTGTGATTTGTATCGGTGTATACAAGCGTTTGGGCGCAGCGCGTGTTCCGCAATCTACAGTCAGTTTCAGCCCAGTGGACGACATTCATTCCGTGGGCCCTCCTCAGAAAGTCGAAGGGATACCTCCGGCGGGCAAATTGCGCGAGTTTGCCACTTCGCGCTCTGGAGCGCTCCGGAGCGCGAAGTGGCAAACTCGCGCCATTTGTCCGCCGGAGATATCCATTCGACTGTCTGAGTCGCAACGGTGCGCCGTGAAGAGACGCACGGAGAAACTCTCTGCATCTCTTCAATCTCCTCGATGTCTAATTGGCAAAATCCCAGCGCTGTGCGCTCACAAAGCCTCCCAGAAGCGGACGCAGTGCTCCATACAAAACGATCCGGTTGAAACAAGCTGTAGTCCAGTCCGTGCGGTCAACGACTGGACAGTACACTGTACACGTTTATTTAATGCAATAACAATCGGCATTGTGCCATCAAGCATAAATCATCTCCCGTAATCAAATCGTGCATGAAGTACTTCATCTGATATGGCGTGTCATCTTTCAATATGTCGATAATCGCTTGGTATGGACTAAAATCCACCGTAACGTCAAGTTCCTGATGACCGGTAAGGATTGGACATGGAACACCTTGAGAACAAGCGTCCAAGTTGTTACTAGAATAATCATGTTAGTAGTTTGTTCTGCACCCATGTCCTAGATATGGAGCTTACAGTAATCCGAAGGTGGGCAGCACGCTCCAATCACAACCTCCGAATGCTGTGCCCCAGGACCATAAATTGAGCGAAAGTTTGAGGTTTGGTGATGTGTAGTTATGTGTTGGATTGTAAAGAGCGCATTTTACCATCATTGGCTTTCCGAGGTGTACAGGATACTGATAGTGCTGTCCTATAAGTACGTAATGGTAGAGATTTTTGAATGGGATACTGAGCTCCTGTACTTCCCTTCTTTCTGCTAAGAAACTTTCGCGCTCTGACCTAATAGGCGTGTTTACCCTAGCTCAATTTATGGTGCAACGCAAATCCTTAAATAGGTCTTTATGGTATTTTTCAAGCCGCAAGCGAAGATTGATTGCAATTGCGTCTGACCAGAACAATACGGTTTGGAAGAGGCAGCAGGCGATAAGAGAAATGGAAGTGCGACTGATCCTGGAGATGCCTAAGTCCGCAGTGGCACTTTGTCTCTGCGTGCGATGTTTTGCCTATACTTTACGCACTCACGCAAACAACAGTAGTTTGTTCCGCGATTGAATGTTCTATCCTTTTGCAAGGAACGAGCGTCACAAGTTTCCTGTAGACCTATGCCCATACAGTAATCATTCGTGACCAGTACGGTGAACCCTTCGGTGACATTACGATAGGTAAACAAACAAGATGGCAAAAACTCTTGCCGAATTAGGGTCAGTGAGGTGGAGGATAGTTGCAAATGTGAACCTCTAAGTTTCCGTGTAAACGAGTATTTTAGCACTCCAATTTTCAGGCTAAAAAATCACTCTTATCATTTTTCAATGCTTTCCTTAGCTGCGATGTACGGAACAAGAGCGGCAGTTCGTCGCTATCAACTCAAACTACCAATTTATGTGACCATCAATGAAATTCTGTGAGTTTGACGTCTTACTGTAGTCTATAGGCGTCAATTGAAAATTTTGATAATCAAAGAGTTTATTTTCGCCGTCAACTTCTCTGCGGATACCGTCTGAGACATACGATACGGTTTTCGCAAACTTGGAAAGCAAAAGAGGAGGCTGAAATTGTAAAATACAAATGACTAGACGACATCCGTTTTTCGATATTTGGTATCAGCATTTCTCTTCAAAAATGCAAACTTTATAGATCATATAGAATCGTACCTGTTTCATCGAATGGCGTAGCGTTGAGAAATTGTACGGGACCAGAATTGCACTGATACCAATGGAATGCTTTGTCCGTACCATTCGGCCATGTTTTACATGCAAGAGATGTAGCGCTAAGTGCTAGTAGGATAATCACCCGCTCCATTCTAGATCTTCTTTTTTTGTTGAGGCCTGCTGGTAAGAGAGAAAATGTAAGAATAAAAATTATCCGCATAACGACGACGCGATATTGAAGTGGTGAACCAAAGACAGGGTAATATTCATTATAAGAGATACGGGAATTTTTCAAGCTACAAGCACAGAATAATGATGACAAAATTTGCTATCAATATTTACAAATTGCATAATAAGGCATGCGTCTTATCGGTGCTTATCTATACGATCGTAGTTCTTAGTCTAGCCACATGCTTCAACTTATGTGGGACGATAAAGAGAATTCGCACCAGTTCAAAAAAAAATGACTAGCTTTGCCGTAAGCACGTGTTTAACATATGAATTAGATTTTTTCTGAAAGGTGTAAAAGAGGGAAAATGCGCAAAGAAATGGTAACTAAGTCGCTCTACTACGTCTTTTAGAGCCCTAAAAATCGTTTCGCAAGAACCGTAGTAACTTCGAATTATTGTCTTGGTTAAGTCAAAAGTAATGACAAGTTTTTGCAATTCATTCTAAGCTTTCCGCAAATTGGGTAGATTCATGATATAGAAATACTCTAAGCAGTAGACATAGCACTTCTTTCTCTTTTCAGCACTTAGATGATCGTTTCAATTCTCCTCATAATTAAAAAAAAATTCCCCATCGTTTCTGCCTTAGTAACTTTAGCTGAGTCTCTTTTTCATTTCCAAAGTCCATAGAAAATCTGCTTAGTAAAGACAAAACAGCCCTGATTAGTGCAGATCACTTGTGATACTTCGAAAACTAGCCTTCCTGGAGCTTTTTATAATGATTTTTCCGAAAGCCCTTTATGAAAAATTGCGCAAGACAAAAAAGCCCGGAATACCTCAAAAATCCTTAATGCTTGTAAACTGCGACTGTCATTTTTGATATTATCAAATTTTGATTCTACAACGTGGTGGGGCTTTAACCTTACATTTCATGATTTTTAAGCGTAGCTATCTGCAACTATAGAATTTGAACGGCCGGCGCTTTGGGTTTAAAACTTCTGCGAATATTTCAACAATTACGGGTTTAGAAAATTTATAGCTGTTGGAAAGAGAAAGAAAAAATGCACAGTAGTATCTGGAAAATTTGGTGCAAGAAGATATGCGAAGTTTTCAATACTTTTGATTCCCCTAGTATATTCTGTGGTATACAAGGAGAGTTCGAAAGTGACGGGAACTTTACATCTCCATTTGCATCTATCTTTATTTTAGATAGTTGACTTACCCGGCTCCGCCCGGCCCTGTCATTATTATATTCGTAATCAGCATGCTCGATTACCCCCCTGTGCCAACTCCCAGCCCCGTAGCTTGAATTTTGCAAAAAATCGATAAAATCGATATCGATCGATAACGAAAAGTAGCCTATGACACCCGCCCGGCCCCGAAGGGTATGTGTGTCAAGTTTGGTCCGGATCGGTTCAGAAATGGAATTTTCTATTCGGAACATACGTACACACATACAGACATACAGACAGACATACAGACAGACATTCAGCTTTATATATAAGATAGAACTTTAGCAGGAAATTGCTCGAATTGTACCAAACGCGGTTTTCCTTCTCTTATCCGCAGGTGTGGTTCCCACCTAAATCATTTAGTAATCATTAGAATAATCGCACAAATTTCAAACTCGAGGTTTCTAATTCCTTTTGATTCTATGACGCGCATAATTTTACCCAAAATTTCAGGTAGTGACTCCTAGAAGCTAACGCTTGATTACCTTATAAAACATCAATAATCAAATTCAGACTCCTCAAAATTCAAGGTTTTTAAAGCTTTGGAGTCTTTTTGCCTTGAACAACTTTCCAAGGTTTGAGTGTTTTCGGAAAAATCATCTTAGCCGCAAGGAGGTAGTCAGAGGAGTCTCAAAAGATTTGCACATAGCAAGGTTCGCTAATTATTACGTATAGAAATTAGCCAGCAATCAACCAGCAAATATTCAATAGGTCTATTCAGATTTATGAATTAGTGAAGAAGGTTGAGATGAACAAGATTCGTAAAATTCGTATAAAGGACTGTCCCATCAGAAGTGATTACCAACCCATTGACCCGGTAAAAAGTAAGGTCTTATGGAGCTAAGAGTACGCTACGATTGTAGGACTTCAGTGTCCCCTTAATTCCTCTGGCAATTTATTGGCTCTTCTCCAGCTTCAACTTCTGAACATTAACTTCATATAATTAGTATATTTTCTAATAGGAAATGTTTCTTAGATAAATACGACAAAAGAAGACCATTTCCAAAATATGGTAGCAACAGACTCCTCTTGCAGGACAAGCCACGCTGAAGCATACCTTTCCATGCCAAAATTATATTTGCAAGACGAACTAGCTATGGTACTAGTAGTTTGGAAAAGAACACAAGGAAATTTGTGACATCTTACTGCTCAATCATTATTTCTTTGCATGCTCTTTTTCTTTAAGCTCTTCAAAATCAAAACCATATTGATTTTTCCAAATTACGAATATAAAACCCTCGAGGAAGTAAACACTAGATCAAAATCATTGAGGTACTTCGAAATGACATAGGGCCAGGATATAATTTTGATTAAGAAGGGCTCTTAATGCTGATATTATGCTCTAATTTGATCGCTAAAATAGGTGAACATTGTACAGGGTGCTCCAAATGAAATTGACGCTCAAAATCTTGCGTGATTCTGCTAAATCTGAATAAGAATGAAAGATTCTGTTTCTGTCTGATAGACAAGAAAATTCTGTATAAGATCTCTAAATACTCAAGATATCGCCTCCGGCATTAGTAAAAGATCTTGCTCTGTTCGGAGAAATTTTCAAAATGCGCTAAATGGTTTTTTGCGGAATTTCGTCCCAGGGCTCTCACTGGGTCTCCTTTCAGCGAATCTAGTGATGTGGGCCTAGAAGAGCGGACTTTTTGCTCGCAGATAAACCGAAAACAAAATTCTTGGGGTCATGACTGGGCTAGTCGGAAGGCCAAACATTGTTTGTTCAGATGTGGCCCACATGAGATTTGACGTGCTGCCATTTTCTAGTCTAATTTACGGCAAGTTCCAATAAAAGTTGTCTTCTTCATTCTCCGGTCATCCCTGACTTCGGCTTACTTAGGATTGATCTACCTGAGACTTTTATTTACCGCCGTCGCTATGATCTTTGTAGAAGAAAGGAAAAAACTACAGTTGTGTAAAATCCGTCATTGATAAAAAATTTGTTTGGCTTTCTAGCTCGCTCAATCTTGACCCCACGGATACTCCTTTCTGTCTACCTGAAAGAAGAAATTTGTTCCTAAAAATGTCACTTGAATTGTTGAAAAGAGATCTGGTGAGAGTTCGGGCCAGAAACTACTGTGCGTAGGAAGAATTTTTGGAAGGAATTTGAAAGCGATTAAATGCTTTTAGCGACACCATAGATAGATAACTAAAAAATGATGTAAAACATCTTATAAAAATTTTTTTGTCTATCAGACTAAGATAAAAATATATTTCATTCAGTCCCTGTAAATTTAGCATTTTTTTCTTGCGTCATTTCATGTGGACCACATGTATACTGTTTCTGAATGACTGCAGTATCACCTGTGTTTTCAGCGTCAAGTTGGAAAATGAATATATTGCCTGTTTTGCTAAAATGACTCGCAGTTTCTTAATTAATTTTTCGAATTATCTCGCAATTGATGGAACGTGCATATTTTTCATTATATTTTCTAATTTTTCACCAATAAAATAAATTGTTGAACTTGAAAACAATTGAAACAAGGGACTAGGAGGTATTGCAAGTGTTTCGAGCTAATTCGGTTCTTTTTAACACATAGCTGATGCCTTTTTTCGAGTGGTCAAAAGCAAGGTCGTTTTAAACGGCTTGTCGCTTCAACCAAACCCTGACGATTAGACCTCAATCATCTTCGCACGCATGCAATATGAAAAGCAGTCTTTTTTGTATGTATTACGTGTTTCGTCTTTGAGACTTCCGAACCATAAACATTATCTTTGCATTTGAAGCATCGCAATGTTGGTCTCTGATAAGGCTCCAATGTTTTATCTTCACGAGCCCGAAAGAAACGGTTACTGATAACCAATACCTAAAAGTGACCATTTGGGTAGAAAATTAATAAGGGGAAAGCAGGTGCTCTAAGGGACACCTGGTTCACTAGATTTACGATGGTACAAGGACAGACTTACCTTTTTTATCAAAAGAGCTTAAAGTCAACAAGTTATTGTCCTTAATAGAACTCTGCTTAAAATGTCACCATGGTCTTGTCGACTGTTTGATAATCTCTACGTATCGTATTTTAACCAAAAGAATGTGATTTCTTCTTTTTTTTTGTGATTCATGAAAGCAAGTAGCATATCAGTTCAAAAGCCAATGTTTATTATTAAATTTATAAAAGCTGATCTAGCAGCTTTTCTATCATTCCGCCAATGAGGCGAACAACTCAAGCAGTCGAGTATTTTCTTAAGTGATTCTAGCTCGAGCTTGTGCCATCAAACAAATGTTGTCGCCGGTGGTCTTGTCATGCATTGCGTACTCCAACTGATATGGGGCATCATCCTTCAGAATGTTAATAATGGCTTCGTATTGGGTAAAGTCAACCATAACATTTAGATACTGACGGCCAGTTTTAATCGGGCACGGAATCCCATGTTCGCATGCATTCAGATTGCTTCTAAAACAAATACTTATTTTTTAGAAAAAAGGTAGACGCTTAACTTACAGTAAGCCGAATGTTGGCAGAGCGCTCCAGTCGCAAGCGCCCACTGCGTTTCCCCACGACCAGAGGTTTATGGTAAGTTTGAGGTTTGGCGAAGAATACACATGTGTGGGGTTGAGCACGTCACATTTGACCATGATGGGCTTTGAAAGATGAATTGGATACTCGTAATTGGTGCCTAAAACAAAATGTGATAGATTCTCAAAAGATTCCTGTAGTCCTGCTTACAAATATGAATATTTCCTCGGAAAACTGTTTGCATCAATCCTACCTGGATTTTACAAGAGCGAAGACTGCTCCGCAAGAAAGAAATTGAGATTCCACAAGATGGAAGGAAATCGATGAATCAATTTTTCAAAAATTCTCTTTTGAACTTCTTCTGTGTAGTCAAAGTTATACGCGATTTCTGCTTTTCCAGCCTTTGAGCATTTGAACGGTTATCCACTCATGTTGAGTGGAACGACTGAACCCTTTTGCTTTTACTTGATTTATTTATTATGAAAAATAATGTGCCCGATATTGCAAAAAAGTCATCAAAACCAGAATAAACAATCAAGGGGTTTTTGGAGTGAATTTTTTTCTAATCAAAAAAGAACGCTTGCAGTTGTCGTTTGCTCTCCTTCAATTCTGATAGGATATTTGCTATAACAAACCCTCATATGGAGATACTGTGCCCTAATGTTCAATTACAACGGGTCAGGAATCGCCATCCAGTTGGTTTCTATTTGAGGTTAGTTTCCACTTTGGACAACAATTATACAGTACTATACGCTGCTGTCAAAATTGCATTGCAGACAAAAATAAAGTTTTTATAACCATCCTAGGCCTCAAATCAGTCGCAAACAGACCATGACAAACATACTATTTTTGAGAGGTAAAGCGAACTTTACCTGTTTGGTCAAATGGGGTGGCATTGTAGAACATCACAGGACCAGCATTACACTGATACCAGTGAAAGGTAGTGTCGGTTCCATTTGGCCAAGTCTTACACGCCAATGCACTGGCACTGAGTGCTAGCAGAACGATAAGCTTCTGCATCCTAAAATGGAAATGGGTGAAATTATTTTGCAAGGAATCAGATGCGCTGAAGATCTGAGAGATCTTCGGAAATGTAAGAAAACCTAAAAGTAGATGTTTCGGGAAAGGAGATAAGTCCTTGATATGCATTACCTTGCGCATCTCTACCGACGTTCCAACTTCCCAACTTTTACACTGGCATGATTTAGGTTGACTTTTTAGGTTAAGGTTTTCGAGTCAAGATTTACTGCGAAACACCTCAACAATTTGCAAAAAAACTAAACTATGGCCTCCACTTGTCTATTCTTGTGTCCTCTTTTCGGGATAATCTTTGGTGTACAAAATTACAATGACGATATTGGAGAAGATGGTAATTATTCGTCGAATACAAACTCATAAATAAGAAAATAACTTGATAATTTTGGAACAAGACTATATCCAAATATTGTATATACTACCGCAGCCTGCCAGAAACGCAACCGAAGGTTACGGTAGTTGTGCCTTGCATTATATTAGATTGGACCGAAAGTTCGTTGGCACCATATTTGAAATAATAACTTCTTACTTTCTTGGAGTTTGCGCAATTTTAGTTTTATTTGAAAGAGGAAAGAGCTTCATGAACTTCACAATATCGTAGACTTTCCATAACCAAACTTTGCAGAGATACTCAAATTTCAATTTTTCTGTGCGGGGTTGCCAAAATTCAAAATTTGCATTAAAAATCGGTGCATTTGGTACTATGAGTTTTACGACCTACGTATCTATCTGAGAAACTTCTGTGCTGCTTGAGCGTTTCTAGAACAGTTATAATTTTCGAGAGCGTTTTGGTATGCTTGCTCGAAGACTATGACTTTTCAAAAAAAGTTCGATCAACACATTTCTTGCTGAAATGAAGAGAGCAGGCCATAAAATCTAGAATACCAACCCTTCACTTTTAGTGCAAGTTTGAGATTTTTGGCAAGTTTACCCAGAAGAATCAAAATTTGAGTAGTTTTTTCTACTACTTTTCTAGCTTCTATCTCTGCGGTTTTTGCGTGTTAGAAAGTCTCTCAAATCTTGCTCTTATAGAGCGCATAACTTCCCCCTCTGAACAAACCTAGAGCTGTGCAGGTATTGCTAAGTGGGAACTTAAGATTTTTTAAAAAGGTGCGAAACGAACTTTCAGGCCAAGATGATATGTAAAACCTATCCATGGTGGGAATTTGGCCTCCAAGTAGGCTTATTGTTCCCAAAAAGATGCTAGCGCGACCTAGGTTACAAATCTGTCATTAGGTCAAGAAAATTCCGCTGATCAAAGCTGTAGCGAACTGTGATTTCAGAAATTTGCAGTAGATTATGTGAAATGGTAAGAAATATCTGAGACTGCTCTTTTCTATTAAACTTCAACAAAATCATCTCATCACTTGAAGATGAAGAAGGTGACAGAAATCTGGGAGAACAATTTTGATTTAAGGAAAGAAACAACTGGCTTACGCAAGCATAAAATATTTAATAGCTGCTAAACAATACTAAACTTTACGGAATTTCTTATCTGTAAGGACCAACGTGGTAGTGATAGCGAGTATAAGCAAGCACGTGCTCGCTTATAAATGCGTAGTTTACTACGCTGTTTATCGCAGCTATCTAGGCAAAAATTACCCGAAGTTCGTCACAAGCGGCCGCACCCAGCTCACCTAGTTCCGCTTTCAGCGTCAATTTTGTGATAGAAAAATTCTTCGAGAAGTTTATTACAAACAAATGAGAACAAAAGATGAAAAGGTTTCCTCTTCATCAGATAACATGTACTCTATGCAAAGATCAAAACAATCAACAAATAACAAAGTGTATGAATGCTATCAGAACTAATAAATAGAAGACATACAGTAGCAAAACGAGAAAATGAGAGCCTAGTATGGAAAAATGTCGCTATTTTGAAGGCAGTGGCTCGGCAAATCTCAACCTAGTCAAATTTGTGCTTACCTGAAGTTATTCAATGCGCTGATCCCGAAAATCCACTTTTGAAAACTTGAAAACGTCGAAAATACGTTTTTTAATACCCTTCCCTGTGGAATTGGACGAGTGGAGCAAGGCCGATGACGCTAAATCGTTGCGGACCCAATGGTTATAGCGTTGCGGCGGGCAGCCTCCAATGGTGAGAAGGAAATTGCCAACTCGTCCAGTTGCGTGTAAGACTGGCCTGCGCGTGTAAGTTTGAAAGCGATTTTCTCGGCAGTGAAAGCATGCTGTGCAACCGGGATTGCACTGTTTTCATACTTGGGCGATAAGGAACCTAACGCGTTAAAATCCTGAGTTGTTGGATTTTGCCGATCCACTCCCTTTAATCACTATATCAGACTATCAGATACATATCTAAAATCACTACTGAAAAAAGAACAAAAGAAGCTGACTAGATGAGCAAGCTAATATGGAAGAAGAGCCTACCGCAAGTGTTCATGATCACATGACAGTGAAGTCTGAGCTTTGTTCAAGCCTGAATGGCACAAACGATACCAAAAGTTCGCCTATACGGTATGTGTGGGTTTTAGAAGGTTTCAGCATTCCAGAACTAAGAGTAGATTCAGTGATTCAGCATGGCCACTTCAAATCAAATCATTTTGCAGAAATTGTCAACAGAAAAGAAAAAGGATGAAACTGGGACCACATGTGAAAGAAATGTTCGAAAGCATGACAAGCTTGTTCATAACAGCTAATACCCGCATTCTGAAGCTAACAGATATCGTCGAAGACGCCAGTGAACGACTTATTTTATGCACCACAGTCGCAAATCCAGTTCGTTAAAGACTACTTTTCATTGTTCATCCCTAAGCCACTGCAGCTGCGCGATCACCGATTCGCAAAAGCAAAGGTCCATTATCTGGACCCAAATGGTGGCCTCCATTCACGGTAGTAAAAACGGCTGTTTCCACTCGTCGCTCATCGGGAGGAATTCCTAGCCTGAACTGTTGGCGTTGAGATTTACTGTATAGGATAAGGTCAATCGAACGAAAGCGGTCAGTTTACCTCGTCAAAGCATGGCCAGCCAATGATGGTACTATTGGCATGAGCAACAAAGCCGTCACTCGTACTGTCTCATAGCTTAGGTATAGCACGGAATCTAACTGTAGAAAAAAGTATTCATATTTCATTTGAATGGCACTGCTCAACAGAAAAGTAAACACAGAACATAGCAGAGGAAGCCAAAAATGCACCTTTGGTCCCGCGGGTAACTTCCATGGCTGAGCAAGCTGGAAGAAACCATTAGCGGACTTCACTACTGCCAGAATCCCTTCAATTGCTTTGTAAAAATACATATCATCATAAAGCAAAGCGGTGATCTCTGAAAATAGTTGCCTATCAACGAAATGCAAAAGATGGGTAAATACTCTCGGTAAGGCTAGGCGGGAAAAGTGACATGAATGTGATTTCATGAAGAAAGCTCCAACAAATTGGACTCCAATACCTCGTATGGTCTCCAGCTCTTTTTGAAGAGACAAGGAAGCGTCAGCGAGTTCACCATCTAGGCTATCTTGGGAGAAAACAGGATACTGCTGACTGGGATTCATTTTCTTTACCGTAGCTCTGCTCAGCAAGTTACCGATGTTGTTTACCAAATCGCTATTGATAACATTGATGACTTTGTCTCGTGAAAAATCTGGAAAATCAATAATTAAAGAATTACTATTTGAAAAAAAAAAAAAGATATATTACTTGAATCTCCATGAGGTAATCCTTGTTTCAGGAGGAAATAGCGTAGACCCTCGGCTGTATATGAGTTCATGGCATCATATGGGTCGACAACGTTGCCGACGCTTTTGGACATCTACAAGCACTTTAATCACTGAAAGTTGAGACAGTAGTATGAGAAAATAAGCAAGATGATTCGCCTTACCTTTGCATTATCGACCAACCAGTGACCGTGGACAAAGAGTCGTTGAGGTAAAGGTAGCTTCATGGCCATTAAAAACGCAGGCCAATAAAACGCATGAAATCTAAATAAGCAAAAAAATAAATTGAAAGAATGTATGTAATTCATAGTTTCAACTTACTTCAAGATGTCTTTTCCAAGTATCTGCCATGAAGGTGGCCAAGCTGTCATTTCTGATGGATATTTGACCACTGCAAGATAATTAACAAGAGCATCCAACCATACATAGATCTGTAAGCACAGCTTCGAAACCATGCTTTGATGTTTCTGTCAAACTTACAGTTTGCGAATCGTCTCCAGGAACCTGTATGCCCCAAGGCAACCGTGCGCGACTTCGCGACACTGATAGATCTCCATCCATTTCCAAATACTTTAGTACAAACTGGAGATAGTGTTTGGGTCGAATGACGTCTGGAATGATAAGATGAGCGCGTCATCTTAAAATAATTAGAGTGTGAGAAGGTTAAGGATGTTCCAAAACGAGAAGTAAGGAAAGGCATGACCGACATTAAGTCCTGAGTGAAAGTTTTGAGAAAATTGTGTAATAAAGGAAAGATAAAGGGGAAAAACTGCATACACAGGCTGTTCGCCAAGCAAGTTCGGTCCGGCAGAACGGCGCGTAAGGCTGAGTTCATAGTTCCAAGTTCCAGCACAGCGCTCAAATTAAGCGCTGTGCTGGAACTGTTCCCGAAAGTCCGCATCAGTATGAACGCAAACAACATACGTTCGTGGTAACAATGACATTCTCAGGTGAAAATTGAAATGAGGTCCCTCCCTCGGTTGTTAGACGTCGCAAGCTATTTCGGCATAACATTTCTTTGCGAAGGTACACTACTTTACTTGTCAAAACCACAAGACTTTTAATTACTAAGTTTGTACAGAGACCTACCTGAGCTCAGTAACCATTCCTTCACTCTCCCCTTAAAATCAGATAATCGAAACATGTAGTTCTGCTCTTCTATCCACTCCACTGAGTTGCCCGTATCTTTTACGACCTATAGAAAGAAATCAACACAGTAAAGCTCAAAAAAGTAAATATGCATTTCACGCAAGACTTTCATTGATGATCAAAGCATGACCGGATAGAAAGAGAATGTCTTACCACTAACCTTTCCAGAAGGAGAATCTTCAATGTCACCATCTGCGAAAAAACACTCATCAACCATGCTATACCATCCTGAGTACACATCTTTATAGATAAGTCCAGCATCACTTAGTTGTTTCTGGATAAAAACCAATCAAACATTAGTCAACACGGATGTCAACCAAAAGGAACTGACCCATACATACTCCACACAAGCCTTATGACGATTTTCCGTTGTTCGTATGAAATCCGTGTTGGCAATATCAAATTTTTCGAAAAGATCACGAAATTTCTCAGATGTTTCATCACAAAACTTCAAAGGATCTTTCCCAGCTTTTTCAGCAGACCGAAAAATCTAAAAGTTCACTTAACCAAAGGTTAAAAAGAAGAAAAGTTCAAACCTTAATGCCGTGCTCATCAGTTCCAGTAGAAAACACATGAGACTCAGTGGGAGCTTTCAATTTCTGCCAACGATGTGCAGCATCAGCCAAGACTACAGTATAAAGATGGCCAAGATGGGGAGCTTGAAAGAATAGATTTATATTGACCAGCTTAGGTGTTCCATATCAAAGACTTACCACCATTTGCATAGAAGATTGGAGTGGTGATATACGAACCGCATCTTCTCGACAGCTTTAACAGCAGTGACGGCGGTAACCTCATAGAGCTGTCATAATATCATATTCAATTGTTCAGCAATGGGCAAGATTAAAAGAGATGCAAATGTGATCTTGCATTTCGGTACACCACGCATCCTCTTGACATAGACGACTACATTTATTTTCATTCATCAACGCAAACTTAACAGTTAGTTGCCACAAATTATAAAAATCCTAGGTGAAACTTCATATCACAAAACGAATAAAACATTATACGTGTATCTACATAACTGCAACAATTGATTAGGGTATCCGATCTGAGCTGCAAGAAGAGCTCAGTTAAAGAATAACGATCGGATATATTTTACTAGATATTGCACAAGTGAATAGGGTGATTAGGAACTTGGATAGCTGATAGCAATTCTAATCGCTATAAAGGCAGTAGAAGATGCATGCATGTAATACAGTCGAGTAGATTTTCCGCGCAATGTAGTGTGCTTGCACTGGAGATGAAATGAGGTAAAATTTGCGCGTGAACAAGTAGCCACTTTAGTAATGCCAGCCTTTTGCGCGCGCACATAGCCCGCGTCATGGGAGCAGCTACTCTGACATTCGGTCCGTGCGGCGCGCGCGTGCTCCCCGTGCGGCGCCTTGTAGTGCGAGGGGGCCGAACGCTGAATGCGCGCGGGCCGAACGGTGAATGCGCGCGGGCCGCACGGTATCGAAAGCGCTCCGTCCGCAAGCCTAGAGAATAAGTCTTTTATAGATCTTCTTTTTCTTCTTTCGTCGTGCCGTGAGCATTCTCAACTCCACACTTCAAAAAATTCCGAATTCAAAAAATTCGAAAATTTGAATTTAAATTCATAGAATTCAAAAATTCAAATTTAGCACCCATTCGGGACGCTCTCGAGCGATAACCTGCGTAGAAGCAAAAAACTCCTTATGTTCCTGCGATTACTCAAATGCCAAGAAATGATATCTAAATCCCACAAGTGATGAAGCAGCCTAATCATAGCGTCGTACCTCACGCGGGTACCCATTACGCTTATAGCGTGTGAGAATTGGAGGCGCGCGGGCGGCACGGTGAGAATATATTGTGCGCGGGCCGTACGCTAAGGATACAAGGCGCGCGGGCCGCACGGTACATGACCCCGCCCGTAAATCTAGGCGCGCGGGCCGCACTGCTTGCCATTAACAAGCGCGCGCCGCACGCACCGAATGTCAGAGTATTTGTTCACGGGCAAATTTTACCGCATTCCTTCGGTGCAGGCACACTATACTGAGCGGAAAATCTACTCGACTGTATGTACCTATGTATGTATACTCTCTACAGATTCTACTTATTCACCTTTCTTCTTCCATCAACAATCCACTTTCAAGATGCAGCAGTTCAACTTCTTTCTGCCCAGACTCTCATTGTAGTACGATGTCAGAGTGGATGTATAAATTGAATCAAGCTTATCCTGGCAAAGACTTTGTATCTAATAGCTGATTTCTCCTTCATCGATGAACTAAAGCAATGTAAATAAATTTTACGAATTTCACCAACGGCAGAGAGAATTACAAATTGGGTCACAAAGCAAATTGAAATCATCCCTTATCAATACGAATGAGCTACCTACATACCTCACTCAATCCCAGATATAGTTAATTCGTTGACCGCACGGACTGGACATCACTGCGAAGCAAGCGCCGCGAGATAAAACGCTTGCCCCAGTACAAACTGCCATTGTCCAGGTCGTGCTCTCGCGACAATTCAGCCACGGAGCGCGTGGTCCGCAGGGTTTGAGCAATCCGGGTCAACGAATCAACGATACTTGTCTTTCGTGGAGAAAAGACAGAACGAGACAGCTAAAACGAAGACCTCAAATTTCTGTGTAGAACAAAGCATTCACACTTACCCTACCATGCGTACAGTCTTTTTCGACCCGGAAAGCGCGTCCGCATCGCCACTGGCTCAGGGAGATAGATCAAAATGAAGAGACACAGACTGCAAAGCGGCGCGAAAGGTTGCGAAGCGAACTCCCGCCAGTCCAATTTCCGCCTAAAATGCGTTGAAACTTGCTAAAAAGATGCACCTTTTTCGGTCAAGGTGTCGCTCAGCCGCGTTGTGTTTCGGGAAACGAGACTTATACCGATCGATACTTTCTGGCAATATGCAGCTTTGTAAATAGATAGTTTGGTCGTGAAGTCTTTCGGCGTGTCTGTGCTGTTCGATTTTAGAAAAAAAAGCCGCGCGTCCTACGCGTGAAATCAGGGTACTTAGTCATCTATTCAGCATGAAAATTGTTAAACTATTTCCATACAAGAAAGGAAGATTCACGATGTTCCTGCACCTTAGGAGGACATGAGCATAACAATAATCGCCTAAGTATTCAAAGCTGTCTCAAACTGAAATGCCCAGAGTTGAGAGCCAATAAATATCTTACAGTATGATCAAACTTAATAGGGTGTGATAATTCTGAAAAGGTGTATCGGTGGTTCGTTGGCCGTATTGTGGCCTGAGGCGAATTAGCGCCTGATTGGGAGTAATTGACTCCAGTGTTATACAGAACACATGTGATGTAGATTTATGAACAGACGACGTGCACGTATTAGTGCAGTGGTAGAATGCTAACGATAATAGGCGTGGTAGAGTAACATAACAAACTATCATAGCAGGTCATGCTTATGGCATGACCTGTGAGGTACTCCGGTAACAGTAGAGATACGGTTGTTAGAAAGTGCCGACAGTCGGCACACTCCGGCCAGCGGGGGGAGAGCAACGAAATGAATTAGAAGTACAACATACATCTGTGCGATAGAAAGGGGGTCGGTTGTACCGGCATCGCGATATCCATCATTTTCACTAATCTTCTCGTCATTGTTATGTTCGTCTGGCTTATCGTTTGCAGTGTGACTTGCTTTTTCTTCAGCGTATGGAAATCCGGCATGCAGTATGTGTCTGTGTAGAACCTTCCTAATGCTACTTTGATTTGTTGCAAATCTTCTTCTACTTCCTATTGCGGCCAGTTCTATCTCAATATCTGTAGCGAGCATTTCTAGCTCAAACGTAAACATCTGAGCATTGCCGGCTATTTGGAAAAATCTTATTTGTTCTTGGAGCGCGTCCATTTCCTTTGCCATGGCTTGTCTCATCATTTCGGAGCTTTCCTTGTAGTGCTTCCTCATGACGTCAACTTTTGATTCCAGCTGGTTTTTGCCGGTTTTGATTTCCATGATGCATATTGGTAGTAGGTCCAGATGGTGTAGGCAGAACTCCTGTCGTTCTTGTTCGTCATCTGGAAGAGTAATTTTCTCACCATAGTGCTGGTATTTCTGCAGTATGTCCGCGAGATTCTTGGTGTACGTCTTCAGGTCCTTTATGATGAGATGAAGAGTCGCATCACTTTCTTGTGGCTTCCGCTGTCCTCCTTGGAAGCGGGGCATGATATCGGTCGTGTTTGGCCGATGCACCAAATGTATCGGTGGTTCGTTGGCCGTATTGTGGCCTGAGGCGAATTAGCGCCTGATTGGGAGTAATTGACTCCAGTGTTATACAGAACACATGTGATGTAGATTTATGAACAGACGACGTGCACGTATTAGTGCAGTGGTAGAATGCTAACGATAATAGGCGTGGTAGAGTAACATAACAAACTATCATAGCAGGTCATGCTTATGGCATGACCTGTGAGGTACTCCGGTAACAGTAGAGATACGGTTATTAGAAAGTGCCGACAGTCGGCACAAAAGGTACTGAAGAGTCTAATTCTCATGCGTAATTAACCAGTTTCTATGTAGAAATGAAGGGAGTGCATACCAACTGAACTTCCTCCCAGGTGACTGAATTTTCAAAGTGGTGCAAGTGTTTTTAATGGCTTGTGAGCTGGTGAGGTGCTGCTCTTGGTAATACATTTGAAACTGGGGTGCTGTTCGGTTATCCGGTTCTCAATTTCTTTGCCTTACAATTTGTACAAAGTTCGTCTGGAGTTATCTTATATGCTGATCAAAAGCAACACACTTTCTCCACTCGAAAACGCCTACTTCTGTTGCGGTAGTATATAGAAGGTAAGAATCGTGGATTTGCTCGAAACATCACTTAGGGGTTTAGTTGGTGTATCGGTGGTTCTAGGCTTTGCAGTAGCCTTGGGCGAAATAGCACCTTTTGAAGTGTGTTATATACAAGGTGTCCGTAAAGTATGTATACATTGTTTGATCGTTGATATCTTTCTTCCTAACAAGTCTTTTGCCTTGCTTCAGGTACCGTTTTTTTGTAGAGCCGGCTTCAATTTAGATTTGCGGTATAGAACGAATCACCCATCTCTCTACCGTAGAATTACGGAGAAACTAGAAACATATGGTGTCAATGTGGAGAAAGCTGCAGTCTAAAAAATGTGAAAACTTGTGTAATAGGGTTTTTTTTCATATTGCCAAAACAATCCTGAGCTTCTCTCACAAGGGTGATTCTTTAATATGAACCTTTAGAAGTACAACCGTGATTTTTCAGCTTCAAGCGCTAGTTTTCGAGAAAAATCAAACTGATAGCAAAAAACCCGAAAAAGCGACATATTCGCACTTTTGACCCAATTTTATTTCTCGTTTTGTAGCCATGGAAAAATACCAAAACCACACAAGAGAATGTCTAGTGTAAAGAGTACGTGCCTGTGCAAATTTGAAACCCATAAGACGTCTATGAACGGAGATACAATTTTTCGGATATCTGAAATTTTTTATTTGGATTCGAACCCCAGGTAGAGCACGATTGCCGCGGAGGTTTGTAAACTATCTTGTAGAGCTTGCTTTGCTCTATCAAATGCTACTATTCACTGTTTTTTGTGATCATTCTGTCGCGGTAGGATGCCATGCGACATTATTTTCCAGACAACCTAATATCCCCCTTTTTGCCGTAGCTTCAAAGTTACCGAAATTGGACATCGACTTCGAGCAAGATAATAACTTTTAGAAAAATATAACTTTTCGATTTCTCCCCAAGCATATCTTTTTACCTTTTCTATCTATCTATGTGGCTTGAGTTACCATTAGAACATATTAGGGTGAACGGTAAAAAATGAGGCAGCTTGATTTTTATTACATTTTTAGATTTTTTGCTCTCACCAACAATAAGCAGGCTGCAACTCAAACGTCGCTTAATAACCGACCCTCGCCTATCATTTTGGCAACGCGTTACCGCTCCTCTATCATAACCATACGCTTGGCGCGGTGAAGAACTCCGACAGAGTTTTTTGAGCAATTCTCAATCTTGCGCTGCTATACCGTAAAGTCGTAAAGCAAATGACATACTATTCGAAAAAAGCTCCTCATGCCGTCCTCTCAATTTCAGAAAAAAAGCGAAAAAGCTGAAAATAGTTACTTTTGGGGCAATAAAAAACCAAAAAATCAAGTTTTGCCCTATATTTTTCGAAGATAGATAAAATCTAAGGCAAGCTGCACATAGATGGACAGAGCGTAAAAAGCTCTATCAGATGGTAACTAGAAAACATGCGTTTACGTCAAAGAATTGAATAAAGCGTATCTTTGTTCTCGAAGCTGCTAATGGCCATATCTCCTGACTTTGTAAGTTGAGGCCACACTCCAGCAGTGGTACTTTGGGTGGTCTCACATGTTTCACTGCGCAGATACTGCTCAAAGTTCATAATTTGTTGAAGTGATTAACTTTGCATTTCAGCAAGTTTATATTAATTATGTAAATGACCTTATATAGGTACATTCGAAAGAGAATAAGATATTCTAACATCTATCAAAATTGAAAAACTAATCACTTCTCTTTCTTGAGAAACCTTGAGAAACCGGCAGTTAATTCGTAAGTGCCCCATTTTTTACCGTTCACTCTAATAGCAAGCTCTGCAAGAGGAATAAAGTTGAAACCTAATTCTTATGGCAGATAGAAACTTTAATGGAGCAAACATCGTCCCTTCGGTTTGAAAATGATACATGGTACAAGTTTTCTACTCAAACATAAATAGTTGATTCGTTGACGGCACGGGCTGAACGACATGCGGAGCACGCGCCGCGAGGTAAAACGCTTGTCCCAGTACAAATTCGACATTGTCTAAGTCGTGCTCTCGCGACAATTCAGCCGCGCTGTGCCTGATCCGCAGCATTAGAGCAGTTCGTGCGATTAAAGGCAGTAGACCGGGAAAAATCCGAATTTGGAGTTTTCGCATTTTCTAGGGTTTCCCGGCCTGTGGACTCAATATACAAACCAATTGATGAAAGAATGATGAAAACCCCGTTTTCGGAGAGCCTCCGCGGGTGCAACGAGGATGAGCGAGCCGTCCTTCCCGCAGGACCCGCGTCGCTTGGAAGGAAGGAGGCGAAAAATCGCCGCTTGATATTTTAGGATTCCTCTATGTGTTTGATTGATTTGATACTAGGACTCTCGCATCGATGTTGAAGTATTTCTTCACTTTCTTGCTTTGCACACTTTGCCGCGAAATGAACTATTTGCAACGACGCGCCAGTCAACGAACTTGACAGGTAAGACGTGTGTTCCCTTGAAGGAAGACGTCCTCGAGGAGGCGGGCTGAGGGCTGGAACCTCAGTAATCGGTGCGGGATTGGGGGCTAGAGGGGGTTACGGGAGGGCGCATTTAGCTATATGCTTAGTTGAGAGTCCCTTACTTCGGGGGTCGAAAATATCAGAAATCCGATTTTCCCGGTCCACTGCCTTTAAGGGCAGTGGTTCGGGAAATTTGCAACTGCGCGCTCTTAGTCACTCCTTGGCATTCTGGATGCGCTTAGACCAAAGCTGTGCTTAAAAAGTCAAAAAGTGCTTTTTATGGCGTTTTTCAGCCTTGGGGATTGCTGAGGAGGTTGAAGCGGAGATCCCGCCAGAAAAAGTGACTGGCTGCAGGAGACTGTAATACCACTCATTCTGGGGGCAATTGGCTGTGGCCCAGGCAGCCAATCGCGACTTGGCTGCGGGAATCTCCGATCCAGCCTCCTCAGCAATCTCCAAGGCCGAAGAACGCCATAGAAAGCACTTTTTTGACTTTTTAAGCACAGATCTAGTTTAAACGCATCCAGAAGGAACAGAAAGCGCACAGTTGAAATTTTTCCAAGTTACTTCCTTTTACGAATCGACGATACTTGTTTCAAACTTCCAATTATACATTTCCTATATATATCATATGCCCTATTGTCTTGAAACCTGGGCATATTGTGATAATTGATTTCAATACTTTTCTTCTGCAGTACAGGTTGTTGTAGGTGACACGTCTATCAACCAGCAACTGAAAGAGATTTCTCACAGTGCAAGAGGTTGAACCATGTCTGGACAATGGTAGGGAAAGAAGCTGGTCTTCCTGAAAGATTCCTCAGTAAACTCAAACTTGAAACTCCCACATGCCCTGTATTTTATAGCCTAACTAGGCTTGCCCGGCTCCGCCCGGCCCTGCCAATGCTATGATTAAGGTCTTATCCCTATCCCTGTAACTTTCATTGTGCCCACTTCTACATACAATTCCCTATTCCCGCTGTGTTAGTAATTAGCATGCCCACCTACCTCCCTCAACAACTCCCAGCCCCGTAGCCCAAACTTTGCAAAAAAATGATAAAATCGATAGAAGTAATGGGCGATTTCAAAAACTATTGTTGTATTCGTAATTAGCATGCTCGATTACCCCCCTGTGCCAACTCCCAGCCCCGTAGTCCAAACTTTGCAAAAAAATCGATGAAATTGATAAAAGCAATGGACGATTTCAAAAAATACTGTAGTCGTAATCAGCATGCTCGATTACCCCCCCCCCCCCCTCCCGTGCAAACTCCCAGCTTCGTAGCTCAAACTTTGCAAACCGATAAAATCGATAAAAGTAATCGATAATCCTGGAAACTAATATTGTATTCGATCCCCATGCTCGATCACCCCCTGTGCCAACTCCCAGCCCCGTAACTCAAACTTTGCAAAAAATCGATAAAATCGATGAAATCGATATCGATCGATGACGAAAAGTAGCCTATGACACCCGCCGGGGCCCGAAGTGTATGTATGCCAAGTTTGGTCCGGATCGGTTCAGAAATGGAATTTTCTATTCGGAACATACGTATAGGGCTTATCAAATTGAGTGTCGTTTGCACAAGCATCTCCATCTTCGCGCTGGACTCTGCGTCTCTTTCGCGCGGCTGCTCTCTCTAGCACTTTCCCAGGGCGAGCGTGGAAAAGGCGGAGCCTCAATCGATTGGAAGTGACCAGGGAACATGTGCCGCAAAAGAGACGCAGAGTCCAGCGCGAAGATGGAGATGCTGGTGCAAACGACACTGAATTTGATAAGCCCTATACAACCATATAGACAGACATACAGGCAGACATACAGATAGACAAACAGACATTCAGCTTTATATATAAGATTAAGACACATAAGCTCTCTCCGTTTGACATGCAATCCGTCACAGCCAGTCTTATAAGATCCGGTACATCATCAGCTGCGTCAACGGTCCAACCGACCCCATATCATGGTTCCTTAAAAAAATCGTGGGCCAATTTCTAAACAAGATACCCGCCCATTTGACCAATACCAATTATTTCCTTGAGCTTCTGCGTCACAAATTTCAGTCAAGCCTGCGTAGTTGAGTCGTTTGGCGTAACTTCATTGTATACCAATGTATCTAATGAAGACGCATTGCAAGCGCTTTCTGAGATGTTGCAACTGCATAGTAAAACTATGACGATGTACACTCTCAGCAAAGCACGCGTCATAACACTCATCAAGGAATGCTTGCGTTGTAATATTTTCAAGTGGTCGGGCCAATACTGTACAGAAGTTAGAGGTTTGGCAATGGGCCAACGATTGGCACCCGTGTTAGCAATCTGCTTCAAGAGCAGAATTGAACAACCTGTGCTATCGAGAACAACCTGCGCTTATGTGCTGTCGATACATCAACGACTGTTGTATCGCTACTTCAACATAGTCCGAAATGGACGAGTGTTTTAGACTATTGAATCAACAATCTCAGTACATAAGCTTCACGCGGGAGAAGACATGCAACGGTTGGTTACCGTCCGTGAATGCGCAGCTGATGGTGGTAAACGACACGGTACAGGTCAAATGGTACAGAAAAGAGAGCAGTAAGAATATTCTTCTGCATGCACAATCCGCGCACCCGACAGCCGTGAAACGCGCCATAATTCGGAATATGATCAAAACGGCAGTTAACATCTGCAGCGGCGAAAAGGAAAAACAGGACTCACTGAGGTTGGCAACTGAAATAATGACTGCCAATGGTTATACTATGCATCCTAGACGAACAAAGAGAACATCAGCAAAGGCGAGTGAACAGAACATGAATAAAATACCTCTGTGCCTCCCTTACATCTCCGAAAAGATCAGTACTGCGATAAGACAATGCTTGATACGAGCACAGTTGGAAAACGAAGTTGTCTTGGTGAATATTCCCCGAGACAACATCAAAACAACTGGTATGAAATCGAATTTATGACAAGACTTATATCACGCGAAAGTGCATAATCTGCCCTTGTGGAAAAGTTGGAGACTGTTCGAAGTCTGGCGTTGTATATCGAATAGAATGTTTAGCGTGCTCTGCCATATACATCGGTGAAACAGGTAGACCACTGTGCGTGCGCGTAAACGAGCATTTGGCTAGCAAAAAGCGGCAGAGGTAATGAGTCCGCTAGGAAAGTATAGAAAGATAGATCATAGCGGTACCGATTTCGACATTAAGTGTATAATCTTGGACGAAAACCGTATCTCCGCTAGAAAGGCCCTCGAAGCTTCCTACATTCTTGTCCGTGACCCCAAGATCAACAACAAGAAGGAACAATTATCTATAACTGGGAATCTAATGCCGTATCTGACATATTGCAAACTATAAGATCATTTGCCCTATTTAAGCAGTTCGTTGACATCGCGACTGCTTATTCTCAACATCGCAGTCAATTGACACGACTGTCTATACTCAACACCGCAGTCGGTCCAAGCATATCTAAAGCAGCTGATACTGCTACAAATTACGGTGGCACATTCTGGTGAGTCAAACTCTACTCGCAGACTTCCTGCTTCCACTAAAGACCATTCGAATGGTCGAGTGGGAGGAGATGTTTGGCGGCCAAGATCGTGAGTCGAAGTGACTGACTCCTTTTAAGCCTCTAACGACGGCGTTGCGCGGAAACGTTAGGCAATAAAGTGTCACCTATAACAACCTGTACGGCAGAAGAAAAGTTTTGAAATTACTTCCTATATATTTTTAATGGCTAGAAATGAGGAAAAATGTCCTGGGTTCCTCATATTAGTTGATATACTTACGCAAGTGACACGCCCTTCAATACTGCTCTGAAGTGAAAATGCAAATTCATCATTTTGGAGCATCAGGAGCTACAGGATATTACTGAAACCTTTGCGCTAAAAATGAAATTTGAAGCCAAACTCCAATTTTTCTAGGGACTTTTTTTCCCAAAAACGGAAACAATCCTGCCTGCCATCATTACGCTTAGTCCTTTACAAACAGAAATTCACATGTGTAGTTGCTCTAATTTGGCGAGGATAAATTACGAGAGGAAATTAGCCACAAGTGCAGAAACTCCGCCTTCTTAGTTTTTTACGCTAAGTTCCATACTTCTATAAGCTTACTAGCTGGCTTACCCGGTTCCGCCGGGCCCTGTCAAAACACTATGAGAAAGCTCTCATCCTCCCTGTACAACCTTTCCCTGTGCCCACGCCTATATGCCAGTCCACTATTCCCGCTGTTTTAGTAATCAGCATGCTCGATTACCTCCTATGCCAACTCGCAGCCCCGTAGCTCAACTTTCGCAAAACAATCGACAAAATTGATAGAAGTAGCGGATAATTCCTAAAACTAATATTTTATTGCAATCAGCATGCTCGACTACCCCCCTGTGCCAAATCCCAGCCCCGTAGGTGAACTCTGTAAAATATCGCTAAAAATCGACAAAATCGATATCGATCGGCAACGAAAAGTAGCCTATGACACCCTCCCGGCCCCGAAGTGTATGTGTGTCAAGTTTGATCTGGATCGGTTCGGAAATGGAATTTTCTATTCGGAACATACGTACACACAGACAGACAGACGTACTTACAAACAGACATTCAGCTTTATATATAAGATAAAAACTAAATGCTTACGGTTGCGCTTCCAGTCGATACCATCCCCGTATTCGTTAGAACACTTATGAATGTTAGCTTGGGTACACTCAATATGTAGTCAACGGCTACGTTAGCGGTTTGAATTAGATCCTTTGGAAACCCACTGATTTTATGGTATTCTGAGTCTTTTAGAGTTTGTTTCAAACTTCATGCAGAGTCTGCTTGCAAATGTCTCAAACCATCTTATATTTAGAAAATAAGGAACATGCCTTAGTTTTGCAGCAACGTAATATATGATTCATTAGTGTATAATTTCATCTAGAAGTGTGAACAGAGGTTTGTTCTCTTTTAGTTCCTGACTTTCTAGAACAGGCGACGTTAGTGCTGTAACCGTAAAGAAGTTGTAAAGGCTACCGAAATATGAAACAGAGGGGCATGGGTTCTCCATGCCCTTATCCTGAACTTCGTACTCTGAAGATGTCCGGATAATATCCAGTACCAGTCTCTGTTCGTAAAACCTGGGCATTATGTCGAATATAACATTTATATCAAACCTGTCTGGCAAAGAAAGCCAGTGAATGTCCGCATAATCACTGATGCACTTCATAAATGATCGTTGTATAATAGACCAACTTGCCCATAGGTTTTTGATACTTATGCAGATGATGTATTCATGTGAGTGACGGCGAAAGTTAAGTTTCGGCGCACTTTGATTTCAACACTGTTCAAAACCGATCACCTCTCATTCAGACGTAGTCCTGAATGAGAAATGATGTGTAGATTAGGTTTTCCACCCATTTGAACATTTAATCCTCTGTGATGAATATGTTTGGGTTGAATATGTGGTAAATTTGGCATCTATGAAAGGCAGTGTATACCAACTTCTTTGAAACTTCACACCATGGAGTATTTTTTGCAGAAATTTGCACTAGATATCTTTGCTAAGCTGCTCAATTGAACATCTTCATCTGCACCTTTTATCCAGTATGTATTTATTTATTCCTGGCTACGTAAGTAGGTCAAGTCCAGATTACCAGAGTTCAATTACGATTTATTGCTTCTGCAGCGAGAATTTGTGCTCGAAAAACTAACTCAAAAGAAGCTGATTGTAAAATGTATGTAGCCAGTTCAATCATCTTGAAGCAATTCCATTCTGATAGTTTGTCGACGAACTTTATAGCAGTATGTCGGAACCAGCGAAGCTTTAGCAATTGTCTTGCTAGGCAAAAACCCACGCCAGCATTTGCGCAGCTAAATATGACACTTTTGGGATAGATTACTTTGGTGAATTTTGTTTGCTCCTTCCTGCTTTACTTCGGTCTTTCGAATAGCACCTTATCGCACTAAGTCATGCAAATCCCTTTTTTATTTCAATTTTCAATAGTGGATCTCGATTTACTCGCATCCTAACAAACGTACATGTATTCTCTATTATTCCTCAGAAAATGCCATATATGTTGGTATGTTCGCAAGTCCCTATTGAGGATGGTCCAACAACTATTGGGAATGTAGACATCGACTCAGCTCTAGCGGAGAGGCTTGAAGCTCAGCCATCCCGCATGTTTTTTACAATAGTGAGTTGCAAAATCATGGATGTCTTTAATAATTATGATTATATTCTAGACATACCTCACCAATCTGGGCCCACAGGTTGTGTTGAACATATTAGAGAGGGAAGGTTGGAAAGTTATCGGAGTGGCAGGCACCGGCAACGCATGCATATGGACTTTGCATAGATAGAAGCAGTTTTTTGTGTACTTGTATTATATAATCGCGATTTGAGATTTTCGCAAACTAAAGCTGAGTTAGTTTTGCAAAGCTGTACAAAGAAATAGATATCTTTACATAATTGCTTGTCTCCACGCTCTGCATGTTCATGCCTTTTGACTGTGTTAGAACAAACATTTGTGAGATATTTTGGTAATCTTCGCATATTCTACTGATAAACTGCTATCAGCACAACAGACAGTACCTTTACACCCTCTTTATATATATTTTATTATTTTTCATGACTCTCACTGTCTCCTTTCGTGGCATTAACTTATGATGCCTTACTTGTTGTAACTTTCAAATGAAGTTTGATTATACGCTTTACGGTCGATACAAGTCACATATCGCATCGAGCACAACGAAGTAACATTATTACATGAAAAGACTTTGGATAAGGTGTGTAAACCGTTTTTACTGCATGTCAACCGAAACTTATCTTATCGACTGCTGTCTAACTACAAATGTGACTCGTAGTCTTCCGCGTTGAAACGTGTAGAAGTCCTGACTAACACTGCGCGAGGGGCAACGCAATTATAATATTTCAATCGCGGCCCAAAAGCCCTTCTCCAACTTTAGTTTCTCGAAATCGTATCTAGAACTATTTGCATCGCTTGCATGCTTTCAAGCGGACACTCTCGTTATAGGTACAACCACGATCACGTTGATAGTACGGTTTCGGTCTGGTTCAATAGGTTTCCCTGACCGGAATGAAACATTGGCGTTGCGGTTTTGACAGTCAATGAGGACGGCTTATTCAAGCGGTTCTCATTAATTTTTCTTCACCAGCATAGAAGCCATACTTTCAATTTTGTTCATATAATCTTTAATCTCTCTATTTATATATTGTAATCAGTTTTTGTCAAAAAAGCGAATGTAAATGTTATTACAGCAACGGACAGAATATGTAAAAGGGGTTGTGCAACTGACAATTCTGTTTGTAACGAATAAAAGATACAGTCGAATCGTTTTGTAATATGTAAATATGCGAAACAGCTCATAATACTAGTACAGTCTGCCCCAATTCTACAGGCCAAAATTGGCATGGCGGGAGTTCGCGTCGCGAGGGTTTCGCGCCATTTCTGCGGCTAGCTGGTCTGCTCTCTCCTCAATCTCGTCGCTCTCTGCGACAGCGCGCGTATGCAGCGCAAATTCCTAGCGCTGCGAGGGCGCAAATTCAGCCGATGGTTCGGCCTGATTCCGACTGGGGCAGACTGTACCACTTTGGATGTTGCTGGCCATAAGGATGACTCTCCAGGGCAAATCCTTTTCAGCTTCTTTCTGTTGCCTTTGATCTACTCATCTTTGAATCAGCCAAAATTTTTCCCTGTATGCAAAACGGAAAGCATCCAAATGCGTAATTACAATATGGAGGGTGCATGCACTGACACGTTAGGATACAAAAGGACTTAACTGTGACTGCTCCATGTAGATTTCTGGATGCGTCATTGTTGTCAGTCATCTCTTCATTATCGAAACCTTCTTGTTAGGCTTAGAGTAGTAGTTGCAGCATTGTGCGATAAATACAAAGCTATCATAACTTATAATAACGGGCTAAGGGTTGTTTACGTTTGTCTGTCTGTGTGTGTGAATCTCTGTCTGTCACGAAATTCATAGAGCGTGTTCCAGCCAACGTCCTGAGCCCAAATTTTGCACAGCGCACGCTACCAGCATGAAACCTCACTATACAAAAGCATGAGCGGATCCGTTGAGTGGATCCATTGAAAGTTGCGCGTCAAACGGATCCACTTGGCTTCTAGCCAGCAAATTTGGGTCCGTAGTACTACTTTTTGCAGAGTTAAGGATATATTTGACAAGCTAATGTGCAAGCCATGGACGTTAGCCTAAAAAAGTGATGAAAAGTCTACTACTTTACGAAAACAGCGCCAAAAAGCATTCGCTGTGTAAACGGTCAAATTTTCAAGATTTTACCTGATTATTTGAGAAGAATTTTGCACAGAGGTGTAGCCCACTATGTCTATTGTCCTTACGGCGACTACCAAGCCATAAAAATTCCAAAACCCCATTCGAATTTGCATCTGTTCTTCTGGGAAAGATTTTATCCACGCGAAAATACCGATCTCACATAAAAGACCTCTACGAATGAGTAGTTGTTTACGAATTATTCGTGATAGCCTACATAGCGCGGTGAGTTTCAATGTTATTATTATGCGGGAATGAGTAAGGCATACAGAGCATAGGGCCAGTGCGAGCCTCTGCGAAGCAGAGGTGACGCACTGGTTATCTATATATATATAAAACTCAAAAATTGTCAGTTTGGAGGGTATGTGCGTTATAGAAACGCGCGCCGCTCAACCGATTCAGCTGAAACTTTGCACACACATGTTTTCGACCCTTGCGCAAATGATAGGCTACTTTTTGTGGCAATTCGTTGGGTCCTTCTATCGATTTATTGATTTGTTTACATTTTCCTAAGGAATTGAAAGTTTATCATGTTCAATCAAGCATTTTTCATACTCATGTAAAGGAGGGCGGTGAAGCTCATTTCCACCTCAGGATCACGAGGATGCGGTTTCCAAGCGGATGTCCCAGGGTAAGTCACCCATACCATATGGGGTGGGGGTGGGGGGGGGGGGGGGGGCTCGCAGTGCGGTGAACCATGGCCCGGGCTGGACCGGGAAAGCCAACTAGTGCCTAATAACATTCATTTGCTAGGAACTGATGCAAATCAAGCATTGGAGACTAGAGAATTAATGTGCAGTGATACATCAAAAATTTTTGATTTGTTTTTAGGTCAAGCAATCAGCGAGCTCTAGTTACAATAAGCTAACTTCTTTTAGTGGATTAGTGAGTGCAATGTGACTATTCACATACATCGCAAGGAATTCCTGTGTCACTGTAAAGCGTGTAGGGAGAACTTATGAATAATTCTAAACTGATTTGCATCACAACATCATGATTATGGCCTGTAGTTATTCAATGTGCGAATGTCTTGCTGATGTAATGCAGACTTATGTATATAATGTATTGGGCCAATTCCGTTTCTATATCACTATTTGACCAGAACACATCAACAAAAAAGCAAATAAGTCAACCAAAAGCGCAGATTTTTGCAATCTTGTGGCCTCCACAAAATTGAGAAAGCACGAGGCTTTCTGCATATCAGTCAGAAGTTTTTGAGGAAATCTTTCCAGATTGATTTTGGTTTAACGAAGTACTATTGTACACCAATAGTGCGGGATTACGCAATTCCTTTGAACAAAACCAAAAATAGTTGTGTAGTACACCATTGTGAAAGCTTTGTAAGAGTTTTACTGATTGACGGAAAGCTCCTTGTTTTGCTGATTGTAGAAACTAATTTCCCGAAATGAATCTAGCTTTTTAAAAGTCTTTCATTATGTTCTAGAGTGCTCAATGATTTTTTAGTATGATACGAGAGTAAGCAAAGTTTCATCAGAGTCTTTGACAGGATGACTTCTCATTCCATTCTTAGCAAGGGTGCTACCTCATTCCTTCTCAAAGCATTGGTAGCTGCGAGAAAAAACTTGTTGGCTTTCTCTGCCGTGATAATCATTGTATAAGACCATCACAAGCTCTCAAATAATAGCCAAAGGCAGGCGGACACCGCAAAATTCGCGTTGCTAACTTTCCGCACTCAGCTCGGAGTTTCGAAGTTGGTCAGCGAGTTTCTAAGGAGGCATTCGTTAAATCTTTGCCTTGGTTTTTTTTCAGCAGTTATACTGCTGATTCTAGGAACCGAGAATTCAACAAGCGGCGTTGCAAAGATTGTGGATCGCTTTCTTTAAACTTGTTAGCGAAGTGCAAGAAATTGGTTATCCATTTTTTCGGTGCCAGCCTATTGCCGACGAGATGTGACCCCAGGTTCGCGGACTTTGCGTTTTTTCAGGCGTCACAAGGGTTAGAAAACTCAAACAAAAGAATCACAGAAGTGCGTTCAGTAGACACGAAGCTAAAACTTCCGAGAGTCAAGCGAATGCGGCCACAAAATGCGTAAGCGGGGCATGCACCGCTATCGTCGCAATAGATGAATGCCTGTAAGGGGTCTCCAGTGCTCGGTACTAGTCTGTTTCATGTCCTTCTGAAAGTGAATATCCACTTAAATTTTGAAAATAGAAAGTCACTTCCAGAAATGCACTCCATCCATCCTTTCTCAATTGTAATCCTAAGAGATAGCAATAAAACATCAAACGGGACAATGAAGGTACGTATTGGAAGCAATATCGAAGATCAAAATGGAAAATTGTGTTATGGAGTTTGAAATGCAAAGGCGATAAATAATTCTTGAGTAGTGATGCTTACATAGTGAGTGCCCCATCAGCTATTGTCGTGCTGAACGCTGTATATGTCAGAGTAAATTGAGCTCAAAGTAGAAAGACAACGTTCTGTGTTAAACATTTCACTGGAAGACATGTTGTTCATGCACGATGTAGAAATGTACGGAGAATCAAGTGTGAGGTGCAGCGCTACACACCTAGGACTCGTAATGCGGAATTAGAGATGAGGAGAGGGGTCGTAAATTGATACCAATAATGACATGGTATTCGTTAACAGCATGTCAGATAACCCTATTATATTATGCATAACCTTGTTCCTTTATAACCATAGGTAGGGAAATGCAGGCCCCCCCCCCACCAGTGAAGGAGGTTTTGGCTATTTATGACTAAGGGCCGCATGCACTAACATTTCCGCTGGGGAGGGGATCGCAGCTTCAGAAGCAAGCTTCATATCCTGAAGCTCCGGATATGTGGATTTCACGCTGTCTACCTGTCCGCAAGTACTCCCACCATCCTTCACTAAGAACATATTGAGCAGAAGGGAGAAGCTGTACAAGCCGCATTTCCCAGCTTTTTGTAGGGTCCTCTGATGATCCCTGGGGGACGAACATCTATTCTTCAAAGTCATTTTTCTTTCTCCGAAGTTAACGAAAACCTTCCAAAGTTATACTGAACATCTAACACAACAGTGCTAAGCATGTTGCTGATGAGAACAAATGAATTTTTGAAAAATCGAACTTTTCGGTATAATTTCGACCTGTGGATCATCGAAAATTTCATGACTTCAAAACATCATTTGTTCTTATCAACAACATGCTTAGCACTGTTGGGTTAGATAATCTGCACAACTTTGGAAGTTTTTCGTTAACTTCGGAGAAAGAAAAATGACTTCAAAGAAAAGCACCGGGGATCATCAGGGATCATACAAAAGGTGGGAAATGCGGTTTGTACAGCTTCTCGCTCCTGTTCAACATGTTCATAGTGAAGGATAGTAGGAATACTTACGGATAGGTACACAACGTGAAATCCAAGTATCTGGAGT